GGAGAATGGCGTGAACCCGGGAGGCGGAGCTTGCAGTGAGCCAAGATCACGCCACTGCACTCCAGCCTGGGAGCACAGCTAGCCTCCGTCTCAAAAAAAAAAAAATAATAATAATAATAAATCTTTAATTTCACCAATAACAACACATGCAAAATACTCCATCAAATGGGTGGAACATCATTTACTCAACTGTTTTTTCTTTTTTTTTTTTTCTGAGATGGAGTCTCACTCTGTCGCCCAGGCTGGAGTGTACTGACGCACCACCGCATCTCCGTTCACTGCAAGCTCCGCTTCTCAGGTTCATGCCTTTCTCCTGCCTCAGCCTCCTGAGTAGTTGGAACTACAGGCGCCCGCCACCACGCCCGGATAATTTTTTGTATTTCTAGTAGAGAGAGGGTTTCACCCTGTTAGCCAGGATGGTCTCCATCTCCTGACCTCGTGATCCACCCGCCTCGGCCTCCCAAAACTCTGGGATTACAGGCGTGAGCGACCATGCCCGGCCTCAACTGTTCTTGCTTGTTGAAATATTTCTCCAATGGGGTCAATTTTTAGGTTATTGGTGCATTGTATTTTCTGACTGAGTCATCATGGTGCATCACCACAAATGGGTTATTTTTAATTGGTTTGTATTTATTTGTTTGCTCACTTATTTAGAGACAGAGTTTTGCTCTGTTGCCAAGGCTGGAGTGCAGTGGCACGATCTCGGTTCACTGCAACCTCCGCCTCCTGGGTTCAAGCGATTACCATGCCTCAGCCTCCTAAGGAGCTGGGATCACAGGCACATGCCACCATGCCCAGCTAATTTTTGTATTTTTAGTAGAGATGGGGTTTCACCATGTTGGCCAGACTGGTCTTGAACTTCTGTCCTCAGGTGATCCACCTGCCTCAGCCTCCCAAAGTGCTGGAATTACAGGCATGAGCCACTGCATCCGGCCTTAATTGGTTTTTAAACTCCTACAAATGCAGACCATGTTCCATGGAAAAAAGTTCACAATACAGAAGTGAATACAGAAAATACGAGTCCACTGCTGCTATGAGTTTCATGTGTACCCTTCCAAATGTTTTGTCTCTGCACACACACACACACACACACATATTAAAATTTTAACCCAAGTACGAGTCACATTGCACGTTCTTCTCAGCAACTTGCTTTTTTCCATAAATAAAACACTGAGATGTCTTTACTTCTTGGGATATCTACTTCATTCCTTTAAGCAGTTCCAAAATAGTCCACTGCATGGCTGTACCAGGGGTCGTTTAGCTGTGTTCTCATAGACATTTGTTTCCAGTTTTTTTTTTTTCTTTGAGACAGAGTCTTGCTCTGTCACCCCAGGCTGGAGTACAATGGCACAATCTCGGCCCACTGCAACCTCTGCCTCCTGGGTTCAAGTGATTCTCACTGCCTCAACCTCCTGAGTAGCTGGAACTACAGGCACCCGCCACCACACCCGGCTAATTTTTGTATTTTTAGTAGAGACAGGGTTTTGCCATGTTGGCC